GACAAAGTCATTCGCTTCGAAGTTAATTCGAGATGAATACTTCGTGGAATACGATTTCACGTCCGTTGTTTTATCGCTCCGTTCAATCTTTGCCGTTCGTCATTTTTCGTTGGACGAAAATTTTTTTTGGAAGACGAACGGGATACTTTTACGATTCTCTCGCCAACTTTTTTTGGAATAATTTGTTTCCTCTCTTTTCCAAGGCGATCAAACTTTCGAAAGATTCTAACGTATTGTTGCGATATATATAAGGATTTTATATATTAATTTCGCAGTCTTTTTTAAAAATCGTAAGTTCGACCAGCAAAACTGGAACATCCATTGGTTGCAATCAATCTTCGTTCCACATTTGGAGTAAATTTGAGACGATATTTCAACTTTTTGCTCCAACAGTACGCAAATATATCCACGAATATATTTGCAAACGCCCGAGGCGATGGCATTACGCGTGTTAAAATTAAATACATAATTTCGGGCGCACGGATCGGCATCCGACCTCTCGTCGGAGATCCATTAATATCCCGGACAACGAGAGCGTTTTACGATGCAAATGTTGAAACGCGCTGACTCGGTGCAAGCCTGAGCACGACACTGTTCGGGACGAGGGCACTGTAAAAACACGGTGCGGGGAGGGCGTATTAATATCGCTCGAAATTTACCACCGTTTCAATTTTCGCCCGATAAACCGGGGGTTCGTGGGCCAGGTACCGTTATTCTATTAAAACCGTAGCCGACAACCGGTCACGCTGGTGGATGCTGATAAAGGAAGAAACACGGAGCCACGTTTCTCCAATTTTCCAAGCAATTTTTTAGGGATTAGCAACAGATTATCGAGCTCGCCCCCACCTGGATAAAGATGCAAATTCATCGGGGACGAACACGTTGGATCCGTCTCTTTGTCCTTTTTCCTCTTTCATTCGATTTATCTACCTTCCTCTGCAGAGCTATCCTTGCTAAATAGAGACTGTTTCGTTATAACGTTAGAAGCAGTTTATCGAATTTCAATCTTCGCCCCCTTCTTCCCTCCTCGAAGAAGAAAGTAATTTCTCTAATATTGGCTCTCGAGAAATCTCAATCGGGGACATTTCCCTCTCCTTCGAATGGATCGAAATCCTTCTTGAAAAACTGTATCAGAGCGTGGGGCGGAAATGAGTGAAAGTCTTTCCCAAGTATAATTCCTTCATCGAGGATATTATTAGGAGATCATATTCCAGATGATACTCCTGGCCGGCCAATTATCGGTAATCGATCGATCGAGTGGCCACTACGTCACTATGTTTAACGGTCACACTTAACACCGATGTGTCTTGTAATCGATGGTTTAACATCCACGCTCCAACGTTAACCATCGTTTATACGTTGATCCGTGTTAATTATGTTGTCTAAGGTCGAGCAAATGGCGTATCCATTATGTCTTACATCGCGATCTATCTCCGTTTCTCTTCATCCCGTGGACAGGGTTGAGACAAGGATGATAGGAGAGAGACCGCGAGCTCCTTTGTGTTCGAATAGCAGCGACACCGAACGCGATTCCCCTTGGGAATACGTGTCTCTCATCTCGACGAAATGAGACAGCTCGAACCTCGTCGTTCTCGAGGAATTTGGCTTTGTACGATGGAACACGATCCATTCTTATTTGAATGATGACGATGAGGAGGAGGTGGAAAGAAGTCGAAATGATTTTCTGCTTCTAATTGTTAATTAAATTGTACTTTTAGGAAGATTATATATATATATGTGTGTGTGTATGTATATAATTTTAGTCTCTTGTAAAATATTGACAGATGTATCATCTGTGTATTTACTTTTAAATTTTTCGATTCAAATGTGGTTTCGAAGGATACCTATTTAAAGTAGAATTATTATCACTTTTTATTTGCATTTTCTTTCTTGTTTGTAATTTCTTATCTTCTCTCGTTGCGGTAAAAATTCTAAAAAACGAAAATTTTTTACAAAAATCACGGAAGATTTATCACTATGGTATAATTTCCCGCGAGAATAGGAAGTATTTCGGTTAAACGACTACTTATGATCACAAGAATTTCACTAGATCAATCGCGTATCTCAGAAAAAGTAAAGTACACTTTCCAAGAAAGAAAAAGAAAAACAAAACCTCGTAAAAATTCAGTGATAATAACCTAAATCTCCAATTATAAAAACGACTGTACTTTTCTATAGAATAAATTAAACGGATTCGAGGAAAGGAGTGTGTGAGCCACCTTTCGAACCCTCTTCCTCGAACTTTTTAAACTTTCATCTTTACATTTCTCGGCTACATCCACGAGAAGAACGTCTTACGTTAAATCCTTCGATTCTGCAAAGAAAGAAACGGAGAAGAGGAACAATGCTTTTCCTCGTACACGTTACACGATCCAAATTTTCTCCGTATACGTGTTTATACACACGTCTCCCTATAAAGTTGCCGATTTAATTACTCGTTTATCCGAGAAAAGGATTCACATCCACCTCCTCGACCCTGCCGATAAGAGGAGGCGAATCCCTAAAAGCTATTTGCACGCGGACGTGCACGTTATAACGGAGCTCGAATATGGCTCAGTGTGGAAGGCGGGTGATGCTCTGAAAAGCGCGTGATAACGGCAGGGGTTACGTGTGTACACGTAACGAAACATCACGGGCGAAATTTTAGCCGTGGCGAAACTAGCTTCTTCGAGTTCGAGCTAACGAACGGGGAAGATCGTTGTCGAGAGATAGAGCGGTGAAAAGAACGGCGCTTTTCGCCGGAATTTTCGAGGGGTATTTAAGTGTATAAATTTAATATTGAAACGTTTAGACACTTCTAGGGCAGCGAGAACGAGGAGGAATTTCTAAAATGAACTTAAAATTGTTGAGTAAAATTGGATTTATTCCAAAGGAAATTTTCAAAATAGTTAAAATATTTAGAAGCTACGCATCTTCTTTTATTTTTGATGCTTATAGACGATAAAATCCTCTAAAATCTTAAAGTGTTTCTCGAGGTTAAACTTTTAGTTAAACTTTAAAAAAAGAATGTATCGCTTTTTCCATTCGAATACTCGAATTAAAGAAACGTTTTGCTCTATATTTTTCTAGAGATCTGAAAACAATGCAATTTATCTTAACTAGGACGATACTCGGAAAAATAATAAAGTTTCTCGAATATTTCACAATTCAGCCTTCGAACAGAAAACTTGAAAAGAACAAGCGATCTAACAAGGAAAAAAGTTTGAAGTTTTAAATCGCGTCCAAAGGCGAAGGATCTCGTTGAAAATGATTGCATTCTATTCAAGAAATTTGCGAGGATCACGAAGTCCGTCGCTGGAATGGAACAGCCTCGATGCATCCTCGATTCCGAAATGCCCTAACCGCGTAATATTAGTCGATCGATGTCAAAATTCCGTTTGTGGTTGTGGCAGGAAAGCTTGTGAGTAATTACTCGAATAGGACGGATCCTCGAGTAACGAGGTAAGACAGCTTCTATTGTGGATGCGTTGAGAATATGTTACTAACATATTTGTATTAAATTTTGATTTTTTTTTTTTTTCTAATTCAGAATCGACCGTTTTCTCGATAAATTTGATTTATGAGTGAAAATATCGCGATATTCGATTGTCCGCGGCGAATATTTTTGGAATTTATCGTGTGGAAATATCGTGACATAAATTTTTGGCAACATTTTGGTGTATAATTTTTATACAGTGACATTGTTGTTGATTGTAAACTGGAAAAAAAAATGAAACCGATGTACGGTTCTATTGATAGGAAAGGATCCAAAATTCCAATTTCTCTCGCAATTTTTTCGCATATATCGATAATTGATTTGATTTTCGGTGATCGAACATTGAGTGTGTTACGTGTCTTTTTTTTTTTTTTATATCTGAATACAATGAGGATAGGTGTTAAAGGATAAAAATCCCAAAGAAAAAAAGGAAAAAAAAAAGATAAAATAAGATGCAGACAGATGGAGGATAAATTTGATTGATTATTTTCGATTTTGTAATGCGTTGAAACGTGACTCGCGTCGGGGATAATGAATATTGATGATGACACGTTCAACGAACAGTGATGCGTCAATTGTGTCAAAATTATAATTACGTTTCCGTTACATTGAATATATTGATAATTACGATATTCCGTAATATTCCGTTATCATTTACCACTATATTTTATCAACCTTTTATTAATAGAAATAGTTTCAATTAATTCTCCCTAACAAATAAACATTGAACGCACACAACTGTGAAATTAAATTAGCATGCAAAAGAATATTCACATAGTGATTGGATGCATGATTTTTCATTTAAAAAGTAAAAAAAGTTGCACAAATCGAATATACTCTAAAAATTTTTAAGAAGTTAAGTTTACACATTCGGTGACGTGAATATAGACATCGTAAAGATTTCTTATTCATGAAAGAACTTTTCTAAGAAATGTGAAAGATGAAAAAGATTTTTCCGTCCGAATTTTCCTTTTACAATATACCCTGCGCGTTCAATACAGATATTATCATCAGTAAACACAGTCTTTTTCGTTTTCATTTTGTACTTCGTATCAAAAATCGATATTCGCCATTCAGGAACCCCTTCAATCCTTGATGCCGCATTGAATTTGTTAATAAACGATTTCCACTAAATTTTCCTCTCGAATCTATAGCCAAGTAACGACGATCCTAGATTTAAAAAAATCTTAAATTAAAAAA